AGGGTGGGAGAGGGGTGACTACACACTGGGTACAGTGTACACTGCTTGGCTGATGGGTACACCAAAATCTCAGAGATCACCACTAAAGAACTTAAGTCATGTAACCAAATGTAACCAGGTTTTTTGGGGTATGGGGGGGCACAACTCCGAGAGAATATTGTAGGTTTTTGGTCTCAAGAATGAGAGAGGGGACCACTGCAGGTGCACGGTAAGCTCATAAAGTAAATACTGGACCCAACAAGTGTTGCAGAAAGGTGATTTTATTTAGGTAGAGAACAGAGAAAAAAAGAAGAGAGAAAACTTCCGTGAAGAGTGTGGAAGGGGACCTCAGAGGGGAAATCCAGCTTGGTGTGGGGACAAGGACTTTTAACATGGGATAAATTCCCTCCTCTTTACGCCCCCTCCACCACCCTGGGCAATGAAAAGAGTTCCTTTAAACTTCCGCTGGGGTGACTTTTAGTTACTTCCCACGCCCACAAAATTTAAACATAAACCGTTAAATCTCCCGGATGGAGATGGGAGCGGGGCATGGCGCTGGGAAGTTCTTGTTCTTAAAACTATGCCCCCTTGTGAACCCGGAAAAGAACACCTTCCCTCACAAACATCATCTGTTCTCTACAAACCTATTGAAATAAAATACAAAATAAATGAAAAAAAATTACCAACGTTTAGTGGTTCCAGGAGTGCATTTTTCAAATGACCTCTAAGTAAAACATTACTGAAATGTTTCAATGGAAGTATAATTTCTTTCATTTGGATTTTGATGCAGTTTATCAAATATTGCCATATTTTCAAAACTTACCTGATATAGTCGCTATTTGAACTAATGTCCCATTTTCCTTCCAGTGAGCATCATCAATTCCCTCAAAAAAGCAGGCAGCGCCTTGATTACACCAGAAAGGGGCTTCCATTTCTGGTCGGAGATGGGGAAATGTACAGTTGCCAAGCTGGAAAAGTTCATACCATTCCATTGTGTAGTTCTTACCAGTTAATGTACTCCTGAATCCAATGGCATCATGCATAATTTTCTGTGTAAAGACAATACAGGTATAAGAGCAACTGTGACATAAGCATGGGTCCAGGTAACCTGATAGGAGAAAATGTGGTACATCACAAATGCATATCAAGTAGAACAACTGTTCAGCTGTCTTCCATGCTGCTACTGTCATATCCACTCTGGGCCCCAAACTCCAGGCCCTCATCCATCCTGGCTGTGGCCACTGCAGCTCATCTCAAATAGGAGGCATGCATGTTATGTGGACAACCTCATAATTTCCTTTGAGCTTAGAGTAAGTGTGAGGAGCCCCCATGCCGGTCTCAGGAAGGAACTCTACAGACCTCACATGGTGATGGGTTAATCTGGAAAGTGACTAAAACAGGATCTGGAAATTGAGAGTGTTTCCTGCCTGCCTTGCCCCTTCTGGGCCTCTTCTCATCTTCCAGGAGCTGGGTACAGGAGCTGGGTTCAGATTCATAACATTACAACAGATAATGGTGATTACATTTGTTACTGTCAGGATTACAAAATCTGAAAGTATTTTTGATTACTCATTCTAAATGTGCTAAGAGAAGCACCAATAAACATGATCTAAAATCAGCCATCTAAATAGAGATTACTCCCTAAAAATCAACTTAATAACCAAATCACTGAATTAACCAAAGTTATAAGACCAAGATGCATCCTTACCAAGTGTCCCAGGAGGTCTCCATATTTAAATTCCCATACTGGGGCTTGTAATCGAAAGACTTCAATATCATCATCATCCTTCATAACTGGGATAGGTGAGCCAGTTGGACAGAAAGTATACTTAGCTTGACAATAAGGATCAGGTTTTGGTCGGAAGTCAAAGCGTCTAATAAAGAAAAATAAACCATTTACTTAGATTCTAGCAGGAATTGGTTCTCCTCACACCTTTTAGAATCCAGTAACAGTTTTAGGGCACCATTCAAAGGTCAGACCATAGTTAATAAATATAAACATACATTTTGTTATCCTTTGAACTTCCAATAATTTTTTAATAACAAATGATAAAAGGACTCTGATAATACATGCTTTCCTGTTCCCTGATCCCACTGTGAAAATTTTGAAGACAGCAATCTTGTCTTAAAATTTTTATAGCTCCAAATCATAGTAGACATTTGCAAATGTTTACAGAATGAACATTTTTCCAATGTGCTCAATTTTACAATCCATACATTAAGATTATTCAGATAATTATGAGTAATATATTTTATATTTACTTATAAATTAACATTCATTCAACCAATATTTGCTGAGGCTCTACTAGATATATAGGGAACTATAGTAAGAAGGAGGGAAACAAAACACTGTTCCCTTTCTCATGGAACCTTGGGTGGGAGCTGGAAAGACATTAAACAAGTAATGAGTGTGGTATGTGCTAGACTAATGAAATAAGTCCTTTGGGCTCAAAGGAAGGACAAATCATTGTGAGATGAATGGGGTGGGGAGGGCAAAGAAAGAGATGAAGGCCTGGCATAGGTTTTTAATATACTTGGGCAGAAGGTTAAGGCAGAAGGCAGAGGAAACGTTAGGCCTTATAAGACAAGCCTGGCACATTTGGTCTCCAGTAGGTATGGAAGACTAGAATTCAGGGTTTGAGGCAGGAGTAGAGGCAGAAGAGATTGGCAGGGGCTGTCATTTTGTCACTAGGAGAGTGTGCATCGAATTCCCTGGAGCCTTACAACTGAAGACGGCTAAGCTCAAAGGATGTTAAGTAGCAGATCTGATAAGATTGAATTTGCTATAAAGTAAACCTTATTTCATGAATTAAAAGAGGGTAGGGAGAGAGGCCAAATTAAACATGAGAGATCAGTTAGAAGGTGACCTCAACAGTGCTGCAAGAAAAAGAAGACGGGAGAAGGCCATAGCAATAGGGCTCGAGGGGCCACTGCAGTTGAATTCGGCACTGGTCACCTATAATCTGGCACTGGGAGAGAAAGAAGTGGTGGCAGGGTGGTGGCAACAGCTTCCATCTAAGAATCCCCACGGTTCTAGCCCGATCTACTGTTTTACTATCCTAACAAACAAAAATTTCTATTTTAACTTAAGTTAAACTCTTTATGCTAACCAAAGCTATTAACAACTCTCCCAAAAGTTTCTGCCACTTGGGTACAGTGTTTTAGAGGCACTTACCTAGTTTAAACAAATACATAATCACATAGAGATTTCACTTACCCAGAGCAAAATCTATTTTAGTTCAAAGGTAACGTAAAATGTATGATTTAAGTGTGAACTTAATAAACTTAAATATATTCAATTGAGGGGATTAGATGGGGGCATGTACTTAATGTCTGAGACTCAAAAAAAAAAAAAAACCACTAAAAAGCAATAGTCAACACCTTGCCCTAATGTTAAATCAAATCGTTTGGATTTACAACTCTTCCTACTGACCAATTTTTACTTCTTACGAACATTTTATTATTAACATTTTCAAGAAAACTAGTTTCAACCACAAACTTCTCTTTCCACGTAGTACATCTATCGAGCAAAACAAAAAAGTGCTGCAAACCTTTCAGTGAGCAGAATACACTAATATCTAGGTTTGACAACAGCTGGCACTTACTAGATTTAATCCTCCCAGCAAACCTATGAGGTAAGTGCTACTACTATTTCTAATTTTTGACTCAGGCCATGCGAGCACAGATTCTGAGTAACCTTCCCAAGATCCCTGGTGATGATAGAGCCAGATTTGACCTGCAGCAGGAAGAACCTAAAACTCGCTCCCCACAAAGAGGAAATCCTGCCTTCAAAATAGCTGTGTTTTCAGGTTTGTTGTGTGCAGTTTTAGCTGTTGATTACTTAGGGCTAGTAAGTTAAACTTATGTCCATTATAAATTGAATTAAAATAATGACGCCTCTGGTTTTTAAAAAATAGCTGTTTTCAAAAACTGCTGGTCTTTGTCCTGCGTGATGTTGACAACATGTTTTCTTTCTCTGTGTGTAGCTACCTCTGATCGCCAGAGGCTGTGTCTTCTATCACAAAGGCTGGAATCGGCCTACCAGGTCCGCGGATCTGTCCTCGACTAAGGACCGGCGTCCTACCTCGAGGCTGAAGACTGGACAAACGCGGTGACAATGTTCCCGGTCTGCCCAGGACTACAGGAGACGGGGATGCCCGGTATGCGGGACTTTGAGTGCAAAAACTGGGAAGTCCCAGTCCCAATAAGGATTTCAGGTTCAAACCAGAGCGAGTTGGTCGCCCAGTAAACTGTGCCAAATGTTCCGCAGCAATGATAACGACAGTGGATGAAATAATAAATCAGTCTTTTTTAAACCACTCTAGAAATGAGCTACTTGTACCTAGAAGTCCCTCCATTAAATAGCATTACTCTCCTCTTCCTCTTCTACGATTTGGGACGGTCCTGAGTCTGCCCCAAGCGGCCAGAGGGGAGGAAAGGTCCCAGGGCTGCGCCTAACAAGCAGCTGCGTCTTCCCATTCCTCAGTTTTGCTCTCACGTGCGCTCCGAGCTTCTCCTGGGGCTGCCCCCGCACCGTCACGTGACCCGACACAAACCCCGGCGCGCGGGGGTCCTCGCCCCAGCACCGCCACCTCCCCCATCGCCGACCCCGACCCGGACCTTGCACGCACCGCCGCACTCACTTGTAGGGCTCCGGCCAGTGGCGCCGGGAGGGACTGCCCGAAGCCCGGAGCCTGCCCGAAGCCCGGAGCCAGCCCGGAGCCGCCGCGAGGCAGAGCAGCGCCAGGGCCCAGCGCCGGGAAGCGCGTCCCCGGGCCCCGCCCGCACCCCGCCACATCTCGACGCCCAGTGCGGTGTCTCCCTCCTGCGCCATCAGGCGGCCCCCAGTGCTTCCGGCGCCTCCCGAGCCCCGCGACGCCGGAGGGCGGAGCTTGTGCGGAGCCGCCGGCCCCGGACGCAGACCGCCACGCCCCGCGCCAGCCCGAGAGCTCGCTAGCAAGCCAGGTTCCGGCGCGTGACTCCTCCCTGTGGCCCGCCCGCGGCGGCTTCCACGCTTTTCAGTCCAGGAGGGCGCTTTGGTCTGCCTCCTCCGCGAATTCCATCCAGACCCGGGGCCTCCTCTTTTATGAACTGACCTGTCCCCACGCACCAGCCACCACCAAAACCAAACCAAAACCAAAAATCTGCCTCCAGGGCTCCTCCCAACCCCGAACTTTTACCGCATTCCACAGGGCCCACGGTAGGTGTCAACAAACGTTGAGTGAATGAGAGTGTTTATTTGGGGCTGGAGGTGCAGGGCTGGGGGTGCAGTGAGGAAGAAGGGACAGTGGTGGGGAAATGCCTCCTCCTCACCGACATGGTCCTGTGATAACAGTGGTTAACACTGACAGTATGTGGTCCCTGCCACTGAGCAAGTGCATAGTGGGGAAATGACTGGTCCTCACTCGACCTGGGCCACTGAAAACAGTGGTGAAACCCACAATGTGTGGTCCCTGCCACTACCCGAGCGCTGTGGAATCCACCCCTCCCCTACTGCTCCCCTCTCCGGCCCCGTGTTTGTTCCATGCTTGGATCTGTCACTTCACTGGGAGGAAGCTTCTGCATCACCTTCTCTTCTTTGACTCTTCAACCACTTCAAGAAAACAATGGCATCCATTACCCGGCTTTTGAGGAGCCTGTCTTGGCGTGCCTTGCTGTTAGGCACAAATACTGACTTAGAAGTACATTCAAGGCCTGTGAATAAGACACTGCACTTCAGCCTGGGCGACGTAATGAGATACCATGTAGTCACTTGTTTTTTTTTTTTTTTTTTTTTTTTTACCAGAGAGCAGTTTTGCAGAGCCTTAGACCAGGACTACTTTCCAATTCCTTCACTTCCCCCACAACGCGTGTGAAGCATCATAATGTTTGTAAGGCTATGGGAATAAGCAAGGTGGCTTCAGTAGCCAGAGATCACCACCACAATCCATGGGAGGGTGTGTGGCTTGGGGGTTGTCACTGACTTCCTCAGGCCCTCCAGGTCTCCTGATTACAGATGGGACTTAGTGCCCTGCCCCAAACACACACTGCTTTGCCCACTTGCTGCACCAGTTTGGGGAGGTTTTGCGGAGGTTCAGACGGGCTGCATTTTACCATCCATTTGTCTAAGTGTTTTGCTAGCCGCCATCCTAGCTCTCCTCCATATACTATCGCCAAATTCAAATTATCAAGGCTAAACTGGCTTCTCCAAAGCCCTACCCAAGATGAGAGGGGAAAGCACTCTAGCCCTGAGAGCTGAAATGGAATGTCTGATTTGAAGGGCACCTGCAGGATTCCCTGTAGACCCACACTTGAGGCTGGTTTAAGCAATTAGAACGAACAACTTAAAAAAAAAAACAAAAAACAGCATTAATTGGAGCGTTTACAAATAGTGGAACCGTACACAGTAGAACTTCCCAGTCAGTTCAGGACTTCCCAGAGCTACAAAAACAAATTCAGGTTGACGTTGGTCAGTGATGGGGACCTCTGGTCTTGCTTCCGTCGTCTTTTCCCTCTGTGTGCCGAGAGCTCTCATGGTAAGAAAGTATTTCCTAGTATTGCTCTTTTTTTTATTTGGATGGAGTCTCCTTCTGTTGTTCAAGCTGAAGTGCAGTGATGCGATCTTGGCTCACTGCAACCTCTGCCTCCCGGGTTCAAGTGATTCTCTTGCCTTAGCCCCCCTAGTAGCTGAGATGACAGGTGTGCGCCACTATGCCAAGCTAATTTTTTTTTTTTTTTTAGTAGAGATGGGTTTCACCATGTTGGCCAGGCTGGTTTTGAACTCCTGACTTCAAGTGATCCACCCCTTGGCCTCCCAAAGTGCTGAGATTACAGGCATGAGCCACCATGCCTGACCCTAGTATTGGTCTTAACTCAGCCTCTTGGAAGCTCCTATTCCTCTGCTCTGGTTTTGCCTTGGGTGGGGACACTGATTAAACCCTATTCCTTTTGTCAGTGACCCCACATCCCAAGCTAAAGGTGCTCATAGGTTGTCATTGCCTGATACTGGTTACTTCCTCCTTGTCCGTGGCTTTTAAATCTTAAAGGCCCACAGGCAGAACTTAATTTCAATTTAATTGGTTTCCCTTGGGTCCTTGCCCAATCAGCCTAAGACTGCTTGGACCACATGGCATCTCCCCAAATAGAGTTATAGGATTCTGGGGAAGTCTGGAGTTGAGATGAAATTTAAATAAGCAATATTTTGGTAGGCTCAAAGCAAAACAAGGCTGTGTGTCAGTGATGGCAGTGGCTGCTCCAGACAGCCTGCTGCTGCCATCAACACACAGGCTCTAGGTCTAGACTGCAAAGTGAACGAGGGTCGTATTTCCTTGGAGACTATGAAGTTAAAACAGCGATGGAATTTTGTGTCTGGAAACCCCTTATCAGAAGCTTGGCATCTGGATTGTAAATTGAGGCCAATTCTCTGTGTGAAATCACTGAGGTCCTTCAGGCAAAGGTGAGATATTTTATTGTTACTGATGTAATTTCAAACAGGAAGTTGTCTCCAAGTCTAATTTTAGAGAACAAATTTCTCATGGAATAAGAAAGCAGGAAGCCAGGCAAGGTGGCATGCACCTGTAGTTCTAGCTACTCAGGAGGCTTGAACCTAGGAGTTTGAGGCTATAGTGAGCTATAATCATGACTGTATATAGCCACTGCACATCAGGCTGGGCAACATAATGAGATGCTGTCTCGAAAAAAAAATTTTTTTTAAGTGAAAAAAAAAGGAGGTTATTATGACACTTTATGATTTACTGTGGTTTGAGAGAAACATTGTTTTCTGGTGATTCTGAGGCTGGTTTTGTCAGTTCAGGCTAATAAATAGCAGGGCAGATTAAAGTCCAAGCTAATTTTTAGTTTCTTACTTACAATCTCATTTTTAATTTTAGTGTTAAAAAACATTTTTTCTGAGAAGGGGCTTCACCAGTTTGCCTAAGAACTGCTGCCCTAGACACACTAATTTCCTACTCCATTTTTGTTTTCTGAGAAAGGGTCTCTCACTTTGCCACCCAGGCTGGAATGCAGTGGTGCAATCACAGTCACTGCAGCCTCAGCTTCCAGGCTTAAGTGATCCTCCCACCTCAGCCCCTGAAGTAGCTGGACTACAGGCATGTACCACCATCTTCAGATAATTTTAAATTTTTTTGTGGTGAAAAGCTGTCTCACTATGTTGCCCAAGCTGGTCTCGAATTCCTGGGCTCAAGTGATCCTCCTGCCTTTGCCTTCCAAAATGCTGGAATTACAGGCATAAGCCACTGAACCTGGCCCTGACACAAATTTTAATATAAAAGGTTGAGAAAATCTTGAAGGTAACCAAAAATTAACAAACCCCCAAAGTGTTTATGAAACTTGGGAATACTTACCTGTTGTATACTTTATTAACCTAGCTAAACAAATGCATGAACTATATGTAGGTCCTATTTTCAGAGTTTTGACAATTTCACTTGCCTAAAGCATAATTTATTTTAGTTCAAAGATTATTTTATTTTCATTTTTATTTTGAGACAGGGTCTTGTTCTGTTGTCCAGGTTAGAGTGCAGTGGCATAATCATGGTTCACTGCAGCCTTGACCTCTCAGGCTTAAGCAATCCTCCTACCTCACCTCCTGAGTAGCTGGGACTACAGGCCTGTGCTACCATGCCTGGCTAATTGGAGAAAAACTTTGGTAAAGTCAGAATTTCACTTTGTTGCCCAGGCTGGTCTCAAGCTTCTGGGCTCAAGTAATCATCTTGCCTCAGCCCCTGAAAGTGTTGGAATTATAGTCATGAGCCACTGTGCCTTACCCAAAGATAATTTTAAAAGCATAATTTGTGAATTTAATAAAGTTAAAAATTATAATATTCACTTAAGGAAGAGATTAAAGTGAGACATCTTAATATATGATATTTAAAAACAAACTGTGGAGCCATAATGAACACCTCTAATTCTAAAGCAAATGATTTGGATTTATGATCTTTTGCTTGTTACATTACATTTTTTTAGACAATTCTTTAATCTTGTACTTGCTTATTGAATATATTTTTTACTTCTGTTGTGATCAGTTTATCAATATCCTCAAGAAAACTGGCTTCAGAACAGAAACTCTTTTCTTTATGTTGTTAAATAAAATGTACGAGAGGCCATGGTTTTGGACTGAGCTCCTGCCCTAGGTCAAAACAGATTGAACCAAAATGGGGTCACTTGTGCTAAGTGTCATGTAATCAAACTGAAATCTAAACAGGAAAATTCCCCTATAGACTGGTATTTCCTGAAAACAAGAGATTCACAGCAACCATTCAGAAAGGCCCCAGTCAGCCTGAGTCAGCATGATAAGGAGGTCTTCTCTGCTTTAACCCTTTACAGGGAAAGTAACCTAAAGTAACCTGATGTTAACCAATTCAGTTTTTTTGTTTCCCTAGTTCTGTTCAAGCTACCTTAGGCAAACCAACTGGTCTACCAGGCTGACTGAAGCTCCCTCTATTTTGAATAGGAAATACCTAATTTATGAATCATTAACAAAAGCCAATTAGATGTTTAAATATCACTTGGTTGATTTTTTTTTTCTTCTTGAGACAGAGTTGTGCTCTGTAGGCCAGGCTGGAGTGCAGTGGCGCAATCTCAGCTCACTGCAACCTCTGCCTCCCAGGTTCAAGGGATTCTCCTACCTCAGCTTCCTGAATAGCTGGGCTTACAGGCATGCACCACAAGCCCACATAATTTTTGTATTTTTTTTTTTAGTAGAGATGGGGTTTTGCCATGTTGGCCAGGCTTGTCTGGAACTCTGGCCTCAGGTGATCCACCCACCTGGGTCTCCCGAAGTGCTGGGATTACAGGTGTGAGCCACTGTGCCCAGTGAAATTTTGTTCTTTTTTAAATCAACATTTATCAAGGAAACTAAAGGGGTGCAAACTATTTGGTGAACAGAAATACACTAGTATCAAGGTTTTGACACAGATGACATTTACTATTTTTAATCTTTCCAACAATCCTACGAAAAAGGTGCTACTTCCTACTTTCAGATTGAGGAAATTTTGGTGCAGATATTTTAAGTAACTTTCTCAGGATCACATAAGGCAGTGAGGGTGGAGTCAGATTTGATCTTGGGCACTCAGGCCCACACCTAAGTTATCCTGCTTTTCAAATTCACTCCTTGTCTTCCTCCTCCTCCCCATCTGCAGTGATGTTGGATGCATGTGTATTTTCCACATGCAGTTGCTCTTTGCCCTGTTTGGTGTCGAAAAT